TCCAGGGCTTAAATCCTCCTCCAGAACATATCTCAAGACTCCCAGCCCATCATGATTGCCCCCTTTTGGCACTCAGCTTCTGTTCCTTGGTACTGAATCCCACATGCATCTGAGTACCTGCCTGGGTTTACATGGATGAGGTGTCCCCAAGGGACACCAGTCACCCCTATATCTCTGGAGTTTAAGACTGAGCCTCATTACGTTCTTCATTCTGAACACCAGTACCTGACAAGTAGGTTAGCCACGCAGGAGAACTGAATCAAGTGCTCCAAATCACTTGGCTAATTGGTTCAGTGATATACTCCATCCCCTTATGCAGAAGCCTAGATCTCTGGATAAACTGGAAGGTTTTCACCAAGATCCCACAGTCACCTTTTGTGCCTCAAACGCCCTCAACCATGATGTGATGGTAAATAAGTGTTGAACAAACAGTCTTCTGGTGCTGTGGTGGGGAATAGCTCTGATTTGCAGTTTTTGCTGATTGCAATGACATAAACTCTCTCATCATGACTGATTTCAAGCCACCGATGTGATGTCACCGACCACAGAGTCGGGAAGAGATGCATAGTAGCATTATGTTATTCACCTTACATTATTTGGTAAATACCATTTCCTACAGCTCGTATAATTCCGGAAAATTTAATCGGCTCTCGTGAGCTATATGACTTGGCCCTTCTAGCAGAATCGGGCTGCCCCGTTCCTCAGAAGAGCAGGGCCCCAGAGTCCTCATTCTGAAGGGAGGGGACCGCTTCCCTGGCAACTTTGGTGCGTAGAGTAGGGGTGAGTGAGTGTGTCAATGTCCTGGTCGGCCTCTGGTGGCCACAAAATCCGAAGCAAATGAGGAGTACCCTCTCCAGTCACGCTCACAGGTATAAACACCCAGCTCTGGAGGACAGGAATCCAATCACTGAGTGGGGGCGGGAGAGGACTGGACGAGGAGGCCCCGAACACCCAGGTTCTAGGCTCCAGATCTCCCGGTTTCCTAACTCCAGGTCTTAGGCCCACTGCTAGCTTCTTGAAGCCCAGTTTCCTCATTTGTAAAGTGGAGGCAACTTACCACGCGTCCTGCCCATTATCTGAGGCTCTGGTGAGGATGCAAAGCGGAAAGGGCTGTGTGAGCAGGGGAGTGCCACGCTGACGGGAGCCACAGAAGGTAAGCGGGTGGGCTTTGGAGGCGAGTTGGTTCAGTGTCGTCATTTACAGACCTAACGACCACGGGCAACTTACTGGCCTTAAACCCAGTTTTATCACCTGTAATATGGGCAGCCGAGGTGTGCACAGAAATAGTATCACCAGCCGCAGAGTGTTGCTGAGGATCAAATATGGACTGACCTAGGCAACGTGTTCAGTGCCTTGACAAACAGTGGCTCTATTACCATTGCTTATATCTGGATCTGCACACACACAAAAATCTTTCTCTAAGGATACTATACAAACATCCCAAAGGCCACCAACTTGGTTAGGAGGAGTGGGTGTGTTCAGAAAGGCCCACCGAGGACAGGACCTCCAGGGACTGACTCAAGCAGCTCCAGATGGCCCTGCCTGCTGCCGCCTCCTTCATCCCTAGAGCCGAGCAGGCTTGCTTGCAGCCGTGGAGTGGGCAGAGAGCCGGGAGACAAACTTTTCCTGGTTCCCACACCGAGGGTGTTTTGTAACATTTTCCAGAGGGGTTGGGTTTCTTAAGCCTTCTTGCTGAGATGTGCAATGGAACGCTAGACCGTGGTGAGGGGCAGGCTTATGCAAAGTGAGCAGCAACTTCAGATCAGACAAAAACCCTCTTCTTCCACTCCAAGCCATCCAAAGCTCTCTCTCCCCTCAGAGAAACAGCAAAACACTCTTGCAAGGAAAAGATACAAAGACAACGCAGCAGAGATTTACCTCTTGAGACTCTGTTTCTAAGGGGTTAAACCTCCCTGTGAATGGGAACACTGAGGGGCCCCTACCACCTGTCCCAGGTGGGAGGCCATTTCAGCACTGAGGGGCTCTGGTAGGCAAAGCTCGGCTAGGTGTGGGGGGCCTTTGGGGTCTTATGACAAGGGAGGAGGGTGAAAGGGGATACTGAGAAAACGATGTCAGGTTCACCTTTCACCACGCTACTCCCCTGCTCAATACACCTTCCTCTGGTTCCTTCTCACCTTTGAAAACAAAAGTTCTCCAAGTGATACCAACATTGCAACCGTCACTACAACTAGTTAATTGCATGGGCTTTGAAGTCAATTGATGCGGGTTCAAATCCTGCCTCTATCGGTTATTAGCTGTGTGATCTTGGACAAGTTAGTTAATTCTGAATGCCTAAGTAGGAATAATTACAGTTCTTACCTCAAAGGCCTGTTCTGAGGCTGAAATGAAAAAATGCAGGTAAGGTCCTTACATAAGAACCAGCATGGTGTAAATTAGTCGACAAATGAAACAATAGAGACAAATTATTTTTTGTTACCGGCTTACCTCTCCAGCTTCATCTCCTGTCATTTTCCAGAATGCAATTATCTAGAAAGATTAGATTGCTCACAGGTTTAGACGTGACACCCACACTCTCCAGTTTTAGGCCTCCCGTGCTTTTTTGTGCTTTTCAGGACCCAGTACACAGTAAGCACTCAATAATCTACAAAATGAACATTTGCCTAGAATTCTTTTTCTACCTTTCTTCATCTGGCAAGCTCAATTTAGAGGTCCCTGTTCCAGCACAGCTGCCCTGAACACCCGGGTGGGCTACATTCCTTCACAGCATCCTGGGCACAAATGCTTCACGGTTCTTACTATGTGCTACTAAAATTGTTTACGTTCCTTTCTTCCTTTCTAGACCATTAGCTCTTCTAAAGAGGAGCCCAGTCTAAAGCATATTTGCATTCCCAATGCCTAGCACATGATAGGTGCTCGATAAATGCTCGACTCTTAAGTATTAAGGCCAATTACTCGCCCCCAGGCTGGAAACCTGGATCCCAAACACCTCCCAGGATCCACTGCCCTTTACAGTAGGTTCAATCAGGTTTCCAGCAGGTTCATCCAACAGTCAGCCAAACCTATTTCTCGCTCCTCCTCCTGAGTCAAACCCTGTTTTTATACCTTCCTCCTCAGCTGAAAACAGAGAAAACTGGAGAATAGAATGTTTCCTGAAATTCTTGTGTATATCAAAGCTACTCCGGTTCATGCTTCAGAGCACTGGTACTGTCTCCACTTGAACTTGGTCACCTAGGGCAATAGAGACTGAGAAATATGAACTCAGGGACCCAGGGGCCTGGGCAGTGAGGGGGGCCCTACATACCTGGGTCTCAAGGGTATGTGCAGACTGACATGCAGCCTGTTAGAGTTGTATGTTTCTATGCCACTCAATTAAAGGTGGCAGGGATGATGTACTCCCTCACTTCCTCCCTGTGGTTTTAGAACAGAACTGTCTCTAGATGTTAATGTGGATCCACTGAGGTTGCTTGGAGGAGCCCAACAGTTTAGAAGGAACTAGGCAGCAACCATCCCCAAAGGGCCAGTACTGCATCCTCTGGCCCCGGGTCAAAGATGGGGTGGGGACATGTCTGGCTTACACTGGACTCTTAGAAACAATAGTGCTGACTGCAGGATAAACCCAGAGGCAAGCGAAGACAATGCTCTCTGCCAGCATCTCCACTGGCCTATTAGTGAACGCTCCACTTGGGGAGGCAGGAACCCCTTCCGCAGGGCTCCACGTCGCCCCATCTTGCCCACCTGCAAGCTGCCCACAAAGAGGTCTTGCTGTGTTGAGGTGAAGGCTATTCCTTCCCTTCAAAGAGGGACTTACACCCCACTCAGAGTTCTAAGAGGATGGCCTTACGAAGAGAGTAAAATGACAATGAATCTGAGGAATTGTCCCATGATGGCAGATGTTGGTACAGCGGTGGCTTAAGTCAGTTCTGAGGTTCCTGGCTGGTAGGTAAGACCTCCAACTACCTCCCATGATCCCTCAAGAGTCTCTTCATTTGTACTGTTCACCGCATCTCAATCTACGTCATACTGCTAGTTGACTATTTCACAGGGGTGTGTTTTGTCTTCCTAACTATAGTTTAGCTTCTAGAGGACAGGGATCTTGTCACATATTTTCACGTTCTCCTTAGGCTCCAGCACAGTGCTTGCTGGGCACCCAGTAAGAGACTAATACTTTTCTTGCCTATTAAAGTCCAAGGCTAAGCACCCATCCACATTTCCATCACATCATTATGAGAGATTTCAGAGTGCTTGCTTCCTCTTGAATTTGTTTTAGCTTCGAGGTATCTGATAAGACTTGTTTCTGTTTTGGGGGGGGTCTGATTTTAACATGTTTATGGCGCTTTACAGAGTATTCCAATGTCAGACACGTTTCCCTTGGAAGGGCGAGGGTTTTGGGGAAATTCCTCAGAACAAAGTGTGGCCTGAGCGGCAGCATTACCCGGCTTGCCCTTGGCCTTGGGGCTCCTGCTTGGCGCAGGAGCCTGTCTGTCCTTGGCTGCTGTGTGACTTATCTCAGCCTCTGTGTGGTGAAGGTTAAAGTGCTTGTGGTTAAGAATCTTGAGGTGGGAATCCCTGAAGTCTGAGGTAGAGGTAAAAGGAAAAAAAATGCTTCAAGAAAAAAAGCACAGTAGAGGCTTTTGGGATCAATTTTATTTGGGCTTCTCACAGTGGTTAGAGCCACTCCGTCTTCAAGAACAATCACAGCACAGGAAATGCGTCACCGAGACTGCCCAGAAAAGTCTGACCAGCTGAATCTTATTGCTTAAAATACACATATTCACAATAACTGACAAATGGTGATGTGCCTCACATAGGAATGTGTTAGCATTTGCAAATCTTCTGACTGTAGCACCAAACCCTCCACCAACCCCCCTTCCATCTCATTTACCTGGAAACTCACTCAGATCTCCCTGGCCCCCTAACCAGTCCCTCAACTCCCCATTTCCATCTCTCCACGCAGAGTAGCCTCCTGTAGCAGGGGCCAGACTGCAGCCTTGGGAATCGAGCCCAGGTCCACAGGTTCCATTTCATTCTTCTTGTGCCTTTAGGGTAGGACACTGCAGTGAACCCTGTGGTTAACACTCTGACCAGTTCCCCATTCTTACTGGGGAAGGAAACTTGAGAGGGCCAGAATTCATCCATTTGATCAGTTAACTGAAGGATTCATTTTGGTAAAACTTGATCTCCTTGGAGACACTTCAGTGAGTTGTCTGGGACTTTAAAAAAAAAAAAAAAAAAAAAAAAGCGGGGGAGGGAAAGGACACGCACTCCCGCCCACTCTCGCCACACTGGCTTGCTTGCATCACTGGACCTCAGTAGAGGGAGGTGAGCCCTGTGGTGTCTGCCAAACCCTCCTAACAACTCTGGGCAGAGCCAGCGTCAGGGCCACAGCTAGTACAAGCTTGTCGTTGAAGATCCAATTAGGCTTCTGTCTGAAGTTCCGCCTTCACCTTCTGTCCCGAGTGGTTGCAGACATCCCCCGGGAGCTGATACCAAGGACCAGGAGTAGCCAAAGGAGGCAGACAGGTTCAGAGCACGTTTCCATTGACAGGGAACAGAACACAGGCCTCCGAGTGTCCACGGAGCAATGTGCAAATTGCAGTGATGGGTAGAGTAAAACCTCTACTTCGAGCACAGTATCTCTGGCAAACACTGGGGACTGCTGTCGACAATGCTGCTGAATACACCCAAGTACACACACAGTCGGACATTTGTTCAGTAAACAGTAAATGCGTAAAATAAATTACCTTGAGAGGGCCATACTTGCTCTAAACGTGTAGTTAATGTGAGCAGAATGGCTGCCATTCAAAGTTTGTTCACAGGAAAATAGGGCTGGGGGCTCACACACAATGGACAGACACACACAGGTTATCCAAAACGTCATTGTATACGGACTTCACTTTGTTCAACATGGATTTTGGTTTTGTGAACTCCAAATGCAGACACTTGTTCACCTCACAGCCTTGAGTTTGTCTATTTTTGTATACATATACATTTTTTTTCCTTTCTTACCGTAACGTCAATGCCTAGTATGAATATCGTCATTCAAGAGTGGGGGAAAAAAACCAAACTCTTCATATGAAGAGGGCTGGGCAGGGAATGTTAGTTTCGGCTATTTGCTTTCTCCATTCAGATTATTCCTATCGAAGCTCAACTGGTTATCTGAAGCCAAACTACACTCATGAAGATCCTGTGGTCCTTCTGGACGGCTGCTCTCACTCCCCTACCTGGGCCACTTAGACTCTTCACCTAGGCTACAACAATTAGTCAGCCCACTCACAAGGGGTGGGGGGTCAGTAGCAGGGAAAGGGCATGAAACCACAGATAACCAAGGCATTGTCTCCAAGTGGTCAGTTAAAAAAAAAAAAAAAAAAACTTACTCGAAATCAAGAGAAAATACTGTGTGAGAGCCAGGCTGAGGGGCTGCCCTGCCCCAGGACCCCCAGCCTCATTTGTTCACAGAGAACAGTGAGACAGGAAGGCCCGCAGACTGTGCTTGGGACCGGGGAGGGCCCTGATCACCTGTGGGCACAGACCGAAGGGCAGAGATGCAGAAAGCTGCGCCTCTATCCACCAGCACGGCTTAGGGCCTCCTGTGCACCCACAGAAGTTCCAGGGAGAGCCCCACCCAAGCTGGTACACAAAACATCTCCTTCTGGCTCAATGGCAGCCAGGCTCGTTGAAGGCCAACTTGGGAAAGGGCCACAAATTTCCCTTTTCCAGAACAGAATTCTTGCCTGCCCACTGGTAAAGTTCTTGTTTTCAGCTCGCTTTTGTTTCTGTTTTCTTAAAAGAAAAACTAAAGAGAAGGCAGCATAATCTTCTACACCTGAACCAGTTGCAGCCGGCCAGAGCCCCTCAAGGATGAACGACAGTGATGCATCAATCTCATCGTCTGGATTTGAGAGCACAACAAGCCCCCTACCAACCTCCCGCACGAGTGCCCATCACTGCTCATCCTCCCACGGCATTAGCCCAGTTCCGGCTCTGCAGACAATGGCGAGGGGTGACAACCCCAGGGTCTCTGCGGGCTTCTTTCTTCACCCAGGACCGAGACCTGTTGCCTCTCCGGGCTGAGACACAGGAAGGTTCTCTTACACTAACACCAGAGCAAAATTCTACTCCATCACCAAGAGTCACCTCAGGGCACAGTCTCAGCCCCTTCCTTGGGGGCTTCTGAAATACATATCTCTCCAACCCATATTTCAGATAGTGAAATATGACTTGAAAAAGGGAAAAAGGGGATGGGGGTGGGAATGAGACACAGAACCATCTTCTTGGCCTTCTGCAACACCGCTTCTGCGGGGGGAGAGGCGAACCGCACCTGGAGATGTACAAACATGGAGGAGCGGAGGAGGGGGAGAAAAAGAAAAGAAAAGGAAAAGAACCAAGCGGCTGTGCCACTTGCTCTAAAAGTCACTTAATGCTTCTCTCGTGGTTCTCCCCTACCCTGGTTGCTTTGCCAAGTTCTCGGGCACAGGCAGGGCCTGCTCTAGCTGGGGGAGCTGCTGCTCTGAGAGTTTGGGGAGTCCTGCTCATTGATAGTGTTCAGCAGCAGGCACGCGGGTGGCCGAGGCAGGTGGGGGTGCCCAGGCTCTCGGGCCTGCTCCTCAGAGGGCTGGCAGAGCCCTTCCTCCTCGTCGCCAGGGGGCCGCACGTGGCAGCTGTCGCAGAAGTCCAGGGGCCCATCCAGAGCTTCGTCGATGAGAGCGCTGAACTCTTTGAGGTCGTCGTGGTGGCCCCGATTGCACACACACACCTCGATGCCCGAGTCGCCCGTGAAGCGGCGATGTCTGCCTGGCGTCTTGTCCTTGCTGTCAGGGAGGCCGCTGCCCTGCTCGCAGCTGTAATCTTTTAGCAGCTCCTCCTTACATTCGGAATCCTTGTCCAAGAAGGCCCCAGGGGCCAGCTCCCCCAGGCTGGCCACAGAGCCGCTGGGCTCCATTCCAGAGGCTTTGGTGGCTGCTGGGTTGGCTGGCATGTCGGAGGGCTCAGGGTCAGCGATGATGCTTGGGGGTCTCGTGCTGCTTCTGCTGGGCCCAGACAAGGGGCTGCTCTGCGCCCCCTGGGGGCCCCTGGTGGGATCGGCGCCCGGGGGGCTGCCGCCTGCAGGGCCACACTGTGCAGGCAGCTGCTGCTGCTGGAGCTGGAAGGCACTGTATGGTGGGGGAGGAGTTGGAGGTCGGTTCACCACTTCCTCATAAGGAGGTAGTAAATAATTTGGCAAAAACCCTAAAATGGGGAGGTAGGGAGGAGAAATTACTGCACTGGCAATTGTTCTAGGACATCCTGTAAAGCTCACTCCACATGTCTCTTCCACCCCCAGCATACCCAAGTGGTCAGCTACAGCCCTCAGTTAAAGGCAGGGCAGAGGGCTGTGGGAGTAACCTAATCTAGCTTCTTGAAACCTGAGAGCCCCTAAAGTTGCTTCATAAGCAAAGATTTCTGCTTGTCTGGTCTGGAGTGAAGGCAGAGGGTTAGGCAAATGTGGATGATCAAGAGATCATTTCGGCCTGGAATGGACCTGTTTCCACACGCGCACACGTCTCAGGTTTCATGGTCAGACTGTGTCCTCCGTCTACATCCCATGGGCCTCAGGGTCAGGGACTCTGCCTCAAGACCTTCTGACACTTTCTTCTTACCCCTACTCTTCCAGATGTATACTACGAAGAAGGCCTTTTTCTGGGAGGTTAGAAATCTGTGTTCTACCTCCCTCTAGGTGGCTAGAGATGGTCTGGAAAGGCAAACCAAAGCTCATCCTTACTCAGCCCAAGTGCAGGTGGGATACCAGCAAAGGGTGAGGGACCTGTCATCCAAGGCTTATTAAGGACAAGCCAGGTGAATTATCTTTTGACTGTGCTGAATGCCTTGAGGCACTGATGACCTAATTATAACAAAGTCGCTAGCATTTATTGAGCACTTATTATATGCCAGGCACTATGCTAAGCCTTAAATAACCCTTTTAGGTGTGGAAGTCCACATTGTGACCACTTTCTTCTGTAGAACACAGTGCAGAATGGCTTTGGACAAGCTGCATAGCTGAGCTACCACTGACCATTTGAGAGGTCACATTTAAGGAGGCCCAGGGAAATCAGGTGAGTGCCCTTCAGTGAGTCACTGAGTTTCTTGGTTCTCAGAAGTCCCAGTGTCACTCCTCACACCTGCCCCTTTCACGGCGGCCTCTGCTCAGCGTTATCACTTGGTGGTAAACAAAATGGATTACAGATTATTGAACTCTAAATCTTAATTCACTCATACCATACACCATCCAACTACCTGGCTCAAAAAATATCTGCCAAAGAAGAGACCTGGTCAGAACCCAACCGGTGTGGATTTGGCATGGCCCAGTGGCTTCAAGGAGCTGCAACCACAGCACTGGCTCCTCTAGGCTTAAGGTGAGCACCCCCTTGTTCCCGCACTTTCGAGATCCTGCTCTGTGCTGGCCAAGGAAGCAAACCCCTGCTGCCCACAGTCTGTGCGTCCTGCACTCCTGAGGGTGGGGTTGGTGGCTTTTGGTGTACGTACTGAAATAAAATGGCAGCGCTGAGTAATTGTGGGCTTCCCGGTAGGCGATCAGGTTGATTTCATGTTGCCGCTGCTGGGCCTGAAGGCGGTGCTTGGCTCGGCGGTGGTGGCAGACGCAGCAGCAGCTCAGGATGATGATAATGGTCCACACCAGCCAGAACCCTGTCGGGGGGAAGGTGAGACAGAGAGGCAGGCACACAGTGAACACCAGCCAGAGGGGCAGCTCTCAGGACAGGGAGGTCCCCAGCGGTGGCCACCTGGTCAAAGCTGGCACGGTCGGGCCCACCCAGCGAATCCACATTTAGAACCTCAATTCCATTTCCATAAATGTTTGTGCCAGAGTGAAAGAGGGCAGAAATGTAAGAATGACAGTAAAGAAGGTCACTCACTCTGGGATGCCTCCAGGGACCTTGGGGAAGGGAAGAATGCCAAGGCATCTCTCCAGCACCATCTCTCTCCTCCTGTAGTTTAGGTTTAGAGGGCATTATATATGCTCCCCTTTTTAGACAGTGTACTATTCCTCTCTTGAGAGATCTCTGAAAAGAGGCTTCAGCCTCTCTTGGTGTGCATCTTTTCCCCAATCCTGTCATTTCCCAGGCTCACTTCCTGCTGCTGACACCAGGCTGTTTATTAAAAGCAAAGAGCACCTCAAAATCCCCACAACTCGGCAGATTAGCAACCGCGAGGGGCCTCAGAGGGGCTTCCTGATAAAGAAATTCTCAGAGTTCTCCTGATATCACCAAAAAGAGCAGAGGCTTTTCTCTACCATATATGCCTCCGTAATACAAGAGTCCTTGAAGTTAGAGGTGGAAAATTCTAATTGCCTCCTGTCCATCTCTCCCCTAGGGAGTGTAAATGACTTCTTCTGTGCATAACATAATCTGGTACAATTCCATCTCCCACTGTCACAAACAATCCACTCCCACCTCCTTTTGGCTTACAGTTGCATGAGACTCGGGGCCATTAGCAGCTTCCCTTTCTTCCTCCCAGTCCAGAGACGGGTAGAGGAGCAGGGGATAAGGCCCGCAGCCTTCTTTCCTCTGGTGCATTATTTCTTCTTACCTCCCACTGGTTCTCTCGGATCATTACTCAGAGAATCTTGGCAAAACCCAAGAACCCCTCTCCGATCTTCAAATGTATGCAAGAAAGCCTTCTAAACATTTTTAAAATTAATTAATGAGCAATTTTGCTTTAAAATATACATACATATGGGAAGAAATTGAAAACCACCAAAGTAGTGACTTATGTTTAAGTAGTGGGATCATAAGAAATTTTAATTTCCTTTTCCCAATTATTTTCTTTCAAATGATAAAACTGGAAACAAAATAAATTAAAACTTTAAAAATATCTGATTAATTTTATTTTTGTGGCTTTTATTTTAAAAATTAATATATTTCTGGATGGGTTTTTTAATTCCTCTGGGACTATATTCATGAAATAACTTAAGTCATTAAAAAAGTCATTCCTAGAATACTATTTTTGACATATAAAGATGTTTCTGATATTAAATGAAAAAAGCAGATTGCAAAACAGTATAAAATATGATCCCATTTTTTACTTAAAAAAAAGTACATAGAAACATCTAGAAGGATGATCAGGAAGTTAATCATGAGGTAATTCCGGGATGACAGGACAGTAGATTTTTTTCTGGTACTAGCTTCCTCGTTTTCTGCTTATCTACACTTCTTAATTTTTCTAAGATGAACATGTACTTCTTTGAAATAAAAGGAATACTTTAAAATTTTTATATATATATATTTTTAATTATAGTAGACATACAATATTATATTAGTTTCAGGCGTACAACACAGTGATTAGACACTTATGTAACTTATAAAGTGATCACCCCAATAAATCCAGTACTCATCTGACATCATAGTTATTACAGTTCTACTAACTATATTCCTCATGCTATACTCTACATCCCCATGACTATTTTGTAACTACCAATTTGTACCTTTTAATGCCCTCAAAAAGCTTCCACATATGATATTCTCTGTCTGACTCCACTCAGCACAATACTCTCTAGGACCATCCATGTTGCTGCAGATGGCAAGATTTCATTCTTTTTATGGCTGAGTAACAGTCCATTGTGTATACAATACACCACCCCTTCTTTATCCATTCATCTATTGATGGACACCCAAGATGTCTCCACATCTTGACTACTGTAAATAATGCTGTAACGGACATATCGATTCACATGTCCCCTCGAAGTAGTGTTTTGGGTTTGTTTGGATAAATACCCAGAAGTGGGATTACTGGGTCCTTCTTTGTGTCTTGTTGTAGGCTTTGTTTTAAGGTCTATTTTGTCTGGTATTTTACTACCCCAGCTTTTTTGGGGGGGTGGGGTGGGGCGGGGTTCCATTTTCATGAAACATCTTTTTTCATCCCTTTACTTTCGGTCTGTATATGTCTATCTGATGTGAGTCTCTTGTAGGCAGCATGTGTAAGGGTCTTGTTTTCTTATCTATTTGGCCACCCTATCTGGATTGAAGCATTTAATTCATTTATATTTAAACTAGATATGTAGTTATTGCCATTTTACTATTCATATTTTTTAGCTTCTTTCTTTCTTCTCCTTCTTCTTCAAGAAGTCCCTCTAAAATTTCCTACAATATTGGTTTGGTGATAATGAACTCCTTTAGCTTCTTCCTGTCTGGAAAACTCTTTATCTATCCTTCAATTCTAAATGATGGCTTTGTTGGGTAATCTTGGTTGTAGGTCCTTGCTTCTCAACACTTTGAATATTTCATGCCAATCCCTTCTGGCTTGCAAAGTCAGCTGACAGTCTCATGGGAGCGCCCTTGTAGGTAACTGCTTTTCTCTTGCTGCGTTTAAGATTCTGTCTTTAATCTTGGGCATTTTAATTATGATGTGTCTTAATGTGGGCCTCTTTGGGTTCATCTTGTTTGAGACTCTGCGCTTCCTGGGCTTGTATGTCTATTTTCTTTTGACAGGTTAGGGAGGTGTTCTGTCATTTCTTCAAATAGGTTTCCAATTCCTTGCTGTCTCTCTTCTCCTTCTGGCACTCCTATGATGCAAATGTTGGTACACTTATGTTGTCTCAGAGGCCCCTTAAACTAGCCTGATTTCTTTGGATTCTCTTTTCTTGTTGCTGTTCTGACTGGATGTTTTCTGCTACCTTATCTTCTAAATCATTGATTCGATCCTCCACTTTATCTAATCTACTGTCAATTCCTCCTAAGGTATTCTTCATTTCAGTTATTGAATTCTTCATTTCTGACTGGTTTTTTATATGTATTCTATCTCCACTTTTTGTTTTCTATCTCTTTGTTAAAGTTTTCACTGAGTTTATCTACTCTTCCCCTAAGGTCACTGAGCATCTTTATAACAAGTGTTTTGAACTCCGCATCTGAAAGGTTGCTTGTCTCCACTTTCTTTAGTTCTTTTTCTGAAGCTTTGTTCTGTTCTTTAATTTAGGCTGCCTACTTGTTTTTGTTTCTATGTATCAGGTATGGCTGCTATGTCTCTTGTTCTTACTAGAGTGACCTTATGTAGTATATGTGCAGTGGGTCCCAGTGGCACAGTCTTTCTTAGTCACCTGAGCCAAGTGCTTCAAGTACGTTCCTCTTATGGGTTGTGTGTGTCTTCCTGTCATAGTTGAGCCTTGGTTGCTGTTAGCTCTTCAATGGGAGGGGCGGATTCTCAGGCTGATTGGTTGTGATGACTGGACATGACCAGTGGAGGAGCTGTTGTGCAGGGGTTGACCCTACAGAGCAGGATTCACTTTACCAGGACTCTGGTGCCTGCCCTGTCTGCCCTTCGGGTGTATCATCCTCAGATATGACCCCATGTGATACTCCAGCTCAGACCAAAACCAGCCACCAGACATGCAGGCCGGGGCCTCCTGGGAGAGACCCTGCTGCAGGCAAAGTTAAGCTATGCCCTACTTGGGGCCACCTGGCATGAGCTACCAAGCAATCCACAGAGAAACACCACCAACACTGGGCTTAAAAGTGCCCTGAGAGGCCAAGCTGCAAACTGAGGCCAGCTGCTGCTAGTGCCAGGCTTGGGGCAGTTCAGCAAGAGGTATGAGGCATGCTGAAGCCAGATGCCGCTCATTTGGTTTTGTGAACCTTTGAAAGTTTAGGAAAGTCCGTGACATTAGCCTAGACAGCCTGTTTGTATGGAAAATCTACTGAAAGCGGCTTGGGTAGGCCTGCACATTGGGAGGGGTGGGGTCTCGGAGTCACCTGGGCGGGGCAACTAGCCTTAGCTATGGTGATGGAGACTCAGATATGGTGCCTTCCCAGGTCTGCAAGCCAAGCAGGGGAAGATTCAACAAAGAAACAATGCCCTCTGCCAAACTTCTGTAGGGGAGAAGTTTCAATCCTCGCCCCGGAGCCATACAACTCAGTTCCTCCCTACAGGTCCCTAGTGCCTTTCGAGCTGCTGCCCCAGCCATGGAGCTCAGATCAAATAAGTCCATCACCAAGTCTGCCCACAAGCCCCTTAAGAGAAAAGCCTGCAATTCCCTTAGCCCTCTGTCTTACTCTGCACAATCTCTGCTGCTTTTCACAGCCAGAAGTTGTGGGGCCTTCTCTTCCTGGCACCGGAATCCTAGGCTGGGGGACCTGGTGTGGGGCCAGGACCCCTCGCTCCACCAGGGAGACCTTCACAGTCAAGATATTTCTCCCAATTCTCAATCACCCCACACAGGTGGGACCAGCACACTTTGCATCTCTGCCCTCCCTACCAATCTCGAGGTGGCCTCTTCTGTGTGTCCCCAGTTGTAGGACTTCTATTCAGCTAGACCTCAGGCGGCTCCCAATGATGGCTCTTCTGTAGTTTAGTTGTAATTCTGATGTGGTTATGAAAGGAAGCAAGCACAGCATTTACTTACTCTGCCATTTTCACCAAAAGCCAAAAGAATACTTTTTTCTCAATAAAAATTTTATCTGAGGAATAATTTAACTTTAAGGTGAGTTATTATATGAAAAAAGATTATATTATTGTTTATTTGCTCTCTATTTCTGAATAACTTCAACTTTTTTCCATTACAAATGCTACGCGTATTTTTATCATCTGCTTTGTAATTATAAATGTGTTTAGAATCTGTTAAGTGTTCCCACATGTATCTCTTGCCAGAATGAGTTATCATTAAAAAAAAAAAAAAAAAAAAAGCATTCCTTCTCTCT